GTGGCCTGACCATGCTGGGATCTGTGTTGGGCAGGAGTTCCTCTCCAAGGGGACGGACGGACACTCGTACTGGATTGGACTCACCGACCAGGGCACTGAAGGCCGCTGGCGCTGGGTGGACGGCTCAGAATACAGAGCAGACGCCAGCAGGGGGTGAGTAACATGGAGACTGATCCCGTGTTAATGTCTCGTCACAAGCTCTTTCAGCAGCGTCTGCTCAGCCCCTTGAGTCCGTGCAGCCCCCAGCGCAGGGGGCCCGATCCTGAGGGAGGCTTCTGGGCGTTGCCCCAACAAAAATTCAGCCTCCCAGGAATTCCTACACACGCCCCTTTGCTCAGAGCGGCGCCCAGACACGCACCGTGTGCTCCGTGCCAGTGAGACCGAGGCCAGAGCCTTCCTGGGGACTCACCATTGACCTGAATGAACCACCTGGATTTACACCAGCTGTGGGGCTGGCTCCGAGCCAACTCCACCCAGCCAGCTTGGCCTGCAGTGAGCGGCCAGGTCCAGCGCTCTCCCTGGGCTGCACGGTGCTCCAGCACCCAGGCTGTGGGGGGCAGGCTGCAGGGGCTGGGGCATGAATGGAGCCAGCTGGAGCCGGTGCACTGAGCGCAGAGGCTGGGGCTGAGGCCCATGACCAGGGCAGGGAGAAGCCAATGACGGGCAGGGCCGGGTCTGGGCACAGCTGAGGGCATCTGCTCAGGGCGAATTGCTCAAATTCAGGGCTCTCTCTAGCCCCCAGACTGGAGACCTTCCCAAACAGGCCACACACCAGTCCCACAGAGCACTTCAGCTGCCTGCCTGAAGCCTCATGAGCAAAACCCCTCTGGCACCCCAGCAATATCCATGCCCCAGATGGCCCCGGGCCTCATACACAGGTGAGGGGTCTTAGAACCCAATCTCACCTACCCCGAACAAGTTCTGTCCGGTTCCAAGAACCCAGCCACAGATCCCTGGTCAATTTACCCTCCGGACCTTACCCACAAATCACGCTGGGCCAATCCTGTAGAATCTAGAATTTAAAGGTTTATTACTACAAGAAAGAAAAGCATGAGAGTAAGGTTGTTAAAGTATCGTACATTACATGCATCGAATCTCCCAGTTCTTGATGCAGGCTCTAGCAGAGATGTCATAGCTGCTGGCTTAAAAGTCCTTGGTGCACATCCCATACCAGGATGGGTCCACAGGTCTTTCCGGCTCGTGAATTCCTGGGAAGCTGCATCTGGGGTCAGGAGCAGATCTGGAGATCAAGATGGAGTTGGCTACATGGCCTATTTATACCTTCTTCCTGGCTTCTCCCAAGCTGGAGACATTCACATAGTCTCTGACCAGGCACCTAGAATCATTCATAGGTGTGTCCCTTCCCCGAACGAGTTCTGTCCGGTTCCAAGAAGCCAGCCACAGTTCCCAGGTCAATTTACCCTCTGGACCTTACCCACAAGATCACACTGAGCCAATCCTTTAGAATCTACAATCTAAAAGTTTATTACTACAAGAAAGAAAAGCAGGAGAGTAAGGCTGTTGAAGTATCATACATTACATGCATCGAATCTCCCAGTTCTTGATGCAGTCTTGAGGCAAAGATGTTATAGCTGCTGGTTTAAAAGTCCTTGGTGCATATCCCATACCAGGATGGGCCCAAAGTACTTCCCAGCTAATGAATCCCTGTGAGGTCGCACCTGGGGTCAAGAGCACACCTGGAGACCAAGATGGAGTTGGGTACATGGCCTATTTACACTTCCTTCCTGGCTTCTCCCAAGCCAGAGACAGTCACATGGTCTCTGACCAGGCACCTAGATTCCTTCATAGGTGGGTCCCGGGTACTTTAGAGACCTATTATCCCTGGAGTCTTATGAAGCCCATTGCTCAACCACATACAGAGAAACTCCCAGTCTCCATACAGAGTACAGATTCCTAACTCCACACACAGACATTATACAGATCTATGAAGAGCGCATACAGAACCAGTAGAAAGTAAGCGTTTGTTTGACACCTCACATAGCCCCCTTTTTACCGACTTTTGAGGCAAACACTTCCCCCATGGGTGCAACAGTGACCCCGCTGCTCCCCTCAAAATCCAATAACATGACACCGCTGCCCTCTCTTTCCATCACTTTGCTGAGTCTTTTCTGGGGGTCTCGGTCCCCTGCTAACTAGAGTCCATGCAGCAGAACCGAGGTCAGAACGTGGCAGGGGTTCTCCTGAGACAGTAACACTCTGCTCTGCAGGTTCTGGTTGCCCGGTGAGCCTAACAACAGTGGAGGCAGAGAAGACTGTGCTCACTTCCACACACGGAAGCAGACTTTGTGGAATGACGCCCCTTGCACTGAATCTATTCGGTGGATTTGTAAGCAGGCCCATGGACAGGAGGTGATGCGCAATATCCCCTGCTGAAGGTATGAGGAGCACAGATGGGCTCCCTCTTCCCCCAGACTCCAGGAGCCAAAGTTTTTGGGGAGCGGAGGCAAAGGGCAGATAATTAATGAACTGGAATTCTTGGATTTATCTCTGAGGTCTCTGCAGCATTATGCAAATATATGTAATATGATCTCATCTGGGTCCTCTAGCAAGCAGGAGCAAAGCCTCGTGACTTGGGTGTTCGTTTGTGAGCGCTGACAGCACCGCACCATCCTCCCTGATGCTGCCCCGGCCACACACAGAGCAAAGACATCGTCCTCCTCCTTCTCTCTTCTCTTCTTTTTCACGCATGGTTTGTTTGGGGTGGAACTTAGGGCTGTGGGGTGGGGTGACCCTGGATGTTGAGTCCAGTGGAGAAGGGGGGCTATTTTGTTTCATCTCATTATTTTCCATATGCTTTGCCGTTCTTTCTGGCTGTAGCAGAGACACTGGTCCCCTGCTGCCCGGCATGTATGGGTCTCTAATTTGTATGTTTCCAGGTCTGTCAGTAAATAAACTACTTGGACCATGGAGTTACTACTTCCAAATCATTCAATAAATAATAATTTGCTGCCTTCCACTAGAATTTCTATTTTGTTTTTGCACCTTGAAAATCAGATGCAGAAAGATGTAGAAATACATATATATTCTCTAAATATAGAAATCTCTATATAGATAGAACCCTCCATTTTACTCTACAGCTGGAATCCCAGAGTGTTTGGCTTGTGGGGAACAAGCGGAATATTTCCATGGAAACTGAAGCTTCTCTGGGCTCCGCTCTGCCAAATCTCCCCTCCTCTTCCGACATTTTTTGCGGAAGCGCAGACACGCTTTTTCAGAAGCCCTGTCTTCCTTGTGCCACGAGGAAGAAGAGCTCTTCCAAAAGAGGAGGTTTTTCCAAAATTTGGCCCAGTGTAGACAGGCCAAATTTCAGAAAAGCCTCCTCTGACAAAACTATCGAGAAAAGGTATGCAAATGGTGGAGTGCGTTTGCGTACCTTTGACCGAAAAAAGCAGCAGTGTAGACCTGGCCCGAGGCCAGGTGCTCAGGACACTGAGGAAGTGTTGCAGCCAGACTGAGATCCACGAGGGATTAAAACCGCTTGGGTACATCGCCAACCATTATTGGGTTTCTTGCACCTTTCTCTGAAGCGTGTAGAAGAGGCCAGCATCAGAGGCAGGTACCTGGGCTACGTGGACCATGGGTCAGCTCTGGTGAGCCAATTACTGTAAATCTGAGAGGGCAGAACCACTGGAGAGGAACTGAGAACTGACCTCAAGGTTCCTCCTAATCTGAGTCAGCTCTTGGAAAGTTCCCTTACGTGGTTGTTTTGTTTGGGTTAGCTGCTGGAGTTCAGGTTTCAGTGTGAGATGGGGGTGCAGCTAGCATACTTCTCCCAGGAGGAAGAAGAGATGTGACAGACCGGGCCAGGTCTGGACACCGCTGAGGGTGTCTACTCAGGGTTCAGCACTTCATCCCAGAGGCAGCAGTGCAGGGATCGAAGAGCCGGGAAGAACTGTGGACCCATCCTGGCGTCGGATGTGCTACTAAGGACTTCTAAGCCAGCAGCTGTAACATCTTTGCTAGAGCCTGCATCGCGAACTGGGCGATTCGATGCATGTAAAGTATTATCCTTTAACAACCTCACTCTCATGCTTTTCTTTCTGGTAGAAATAAACCTTTAGATGTTAGATGCTAAAGGACTGGCTCAGCGTGATTTGTGGGTAAGATCCGGAGGGTGAATTGACTTGGGGGAGCTTACCCACAAGATCACCCCGAGCCAATCCTTTAGCATCTAAAAATCTAAAGGTTTATTAATAAAAGAAAGAAAAGGTGGAGAGTAGGTTGTTAAGGAGAATACATTGCATGCACCAATCACCAAGTTCTGGATGCAAGCTCTCAGCAGAGATGTTGCAAACTGCTGGCTTAGAAGTGTTAGGTATGGCACCCCAGCAATATCCGTGCCCTAGATGGCCCCAGGCCTCATATACAGGTGGGGGGAGGGGAGGTCTTAGAACCCAATCCCACCTACTCCAAACAAGTTCTGTCCAGTTCCAAGAAACCAGCATCTGGCTAGCTCAGCTGGTTAGAGGATGGTGCTGATAAAGCCAAGGTCAGTGGTTCAAGCCTCATGTTTGCCAGTAGGGGAGCATCAGCTGGTGGCTTGTCTGCCTTCTTACTGACTGCTAGGTGCAAAGAGGCAAAGGAATAGATTTGAGAAGCTAGCAGGGAGTCAGGAAAATATCCTACACAGAGGAAGCTGCATCAGCTGTCTTCCTGTTCTTCCTCCTCAAGCCTGCACTGCCCAACACGCTTCAGGCTTTGTCTAAGCTGCAGGCTTCTTTCAGAAGAAGGTTTTCCAGAAGAGATCTTTCAGAACACTTCCGAAAGAGCGTGTCCGCGCATCAAAAAAGCGAGCTGCTTTTTCGAAAGAAAGCATCCACACCGAATGGACGCTATCTCACATGTAAGCTGTGATTGCTCTGTGTGGAGTGGCCACCAGGGTACCTGGGCTTTTTCCTCCTTCCTCTTCTTCCGAACGAACCCCTTCGTCCACGTCTACAAGGCTTCTTCCTCGTAGAACACGGATTACCATTGTTGGACAAACCCCTCTGTTCTTTCAATTTTCTTTTGAAAGAACACGATAGCAGTGTGGACGTAACTCAAGTTTCTTCAGAAAAACCTCTGTAGTGTAGAAGAGGCGGCAGCCACACTCACCCAAGAGGCACCAGCCCCCCACATCAGAGTCCCTGCCTTTTTCTTTTTCTT